GTGGACGATCACAAATTTGTACAAACCCTCAAAGGTCAAGTCCTACGAATCCCTGACCTCGATAGTCTGGTTCGTGGTTGGCCGAAAGGCTACAGCCCTCACTACGAGGCGGTGAAGCAGGTGCACAACGCGGTCATGAGCAAGTGTGTCCGAGCTTATTCCCTGCCATGCTTGATACCGATGACTCCAAGCTAACCCGGCTCATATCAGGCTCCTTGGACCCTCGAAGCGGTACAAGACCCTGATTGCCTGTGATTGCGTGTATAACGCCTGTACATGGTTCCCTAACGCGTCATTTGACGCTCTCTGCTTCGCGTCATACGTAACTTCCTTCGTGAGCCCCTCCCGTCCTGCCTTGGTGCAATGATTACGCACTGATACCCAATATCCCGAAAGCTTTTTGTCTGGGATGATGAGCTGGATATTCCCGATACCTCAAGGCTCGCAAAGAACTGGACTGCCGCCGAGAAATACAGGGCGGACACTATCGCGCACGTTCATGCGTTCCTCGACGAACACCCGCCGCAGGATGCCAGGACGCGTTCATGCCGCGTGGAGACGGCCATAGCCAGCTTCAACCCTGTTGGTGAAGCTGCTGCCTTCAGGTTCAACAGAGGCCAAAAGGGACTCTTCTGCGAGGAGGTTCTTCGCTACATTCGCGCAACAGGCGCAGAGCAGCGATCCGAATTGAGCAAGCAAGCTCCTACAATCGATGAATACCTCGAAACGCGCATGGGGACGAGCGGGGTAGCCGCTGTCGCGGCCACGATAGAGTAAGCTATTTGTTGTCTTTAATACACTTGGCTTTCAGGTTCTCACGTCTCTCTTCCCTCACTCTTCTTTGATCTGCCAGGTACATGGTTGGCATTGACCTTGGCGATCAACTTCGCACCGATTCAGATGCTGTATCAATCTTCAATGCCACCAACTGTCTTGTCTCCATCATGAACGACTTGTTCTCGCTCAAGAAGGAACTGGAATCTCCATTCTATAATAACGCTGTAGCGGTTCTCTATCACCAACACCGTGACTTGCAGATTGCCGTGAACGAGACTTATAAGCTTCTCGCACGGAGTGTCCACGATCTGGAAACCGCTGCTGCAAACTTATATCGACGGTTCCCGGACCGCCGTGCCGACCTGGAAAAGTTCGTTGCCGGGGCTCAGACGATGGTTACAGGAAACATGGAGTGGAGCAAGAAGATCCCAAGGTACAAGCTGGGTGGCATAACCAAATTTGATGGGACCACCGAAGTCACCCTTTGATTCACCTGAGGATGAATCGCGGTGATCTGAAGTCCAGTAACGTTATCTTCTTCATATATATTATGTGTACTTTGTCTCAACACCAATTCTCATGTATATTGTCGTTCCTGTGCCATGCTTATCTATTTGTTTGAGGTTACCCACCCTCAAGATGGCACATCTCACCCAACCCTGTACACCCCTAGTGACCTGAATTGACTATATTGAGACGGTGGGAACCAGAGGGCATCAGACGTCTAGGGCTATTCTTGGCATTGCAGGATGCTCAATTCCTCACTGCGAGCACTGATATATTTGGTTGCATCATCGCCCACACCTCTGGTCTGCCAAGTGGTGAGCATCTGGACTTCTGCGCGTTGGCTTGCGGTAATAATGGCCCTGGGTCACATTTTCGGCTTTCCAATTCTGCCGCAGTGCTGCGAAGCCTGCGATTCTTATGTCAGCAACATCCCTGTTCGTATCTTCCCTACTGCGCCGAGAGGCGCGTGGATTCGATGCATTCATTATGATCGGCGCGGCTGTATTAAGTATCTCAGTGTACCATGAGTCACTTTAGCTTTGATCTGTATCCCCCGTCACCCCCCGTTCGACTTCCGTTCCTTGTCGGGCTCACGACTGTGGGCGCAGTTGGAATGGATCTCCGCAGAAGCAGTCGAATCGTATAAGAACCACCACTTAGATGCTAAAGCTCTCCATCTACCGAGCAGCCACACACCCAGCGCTATTCTTTGCCTAGCCTCTCTCGCATATCAAGCTTCTACAATGTCTTACCCCTCAAATACTACCTCTACCACTTCCCTACGCCATGCTGAGAAGCTCAAAGCGTCCAGCAAAGATTACCCGAGCGCCCTAGCAAGCCTTCAATCCACGTATGGCTTCAGTGGTGCCCCTGTCGTTCCCAACATAACTGGGTCGAAAAACGCTCAAAACTTGGGGCGCGCGAGCGCTCCTGACAATGCTCGTAACAATGTCCAGCATGATGAGAAGAACTTCCCTGCTGCCCTTGCCAACCTACAAACGGCTTATGGGTTCAGCCCCACGGGAGCTCCCGTAGTACCTTCCTCCTCGGGCCGCTGAGCGGTGGATGGCGTCGTACGGACGATCCATCATCGTTCTCAGAGTCTTGTCTTGGTACCTGAAGATTGCCTAATCAATCAATCAGTCAAGGTGTCTAGCACGCTAGCCGTACTTGCTTCACAGGTAAGCCCCATTCTATTTCACGATGCTCAATCAATAGCTCAACTGTGAGCTTACTTGCCGTATTCTTGTTCCTCAACAGGCGGCCAATTCTCAACTCGAGGGAACTTAGCCACGTAATCAGGGCGCCAAGGTTGGCGTTCTAGCGCCATTATTCCAGTCATAGTCAAATAATGACATTTGAATGGAGGTTGGCGGTTGGCGGTTGTAGTTGAGGATGAGGATTTAGTAGTGTGAAAGGAATACGATGATTTAGTCAACCGAATTACCGCTAATCACCCCCTCCATATCCTGTGCTTCTCCCCTGCGTAACGATAGCTCGCCACACCACAAAAGAATAGTCTTTTTTTCCAGCGTTCGCATTCCGGCTGGAAAAATGTGCGTGAAACAGACAGATTCAAGTGGGGACTGGTTCTGTCGGGCATAGGACAACAAAAAAATGGAGTAACCGCGAATCGAACACGGGACCTCATCCAATTGCGACTGCTAAGGATGCGCTCTACCAACTGAGCCATTACCCCGGCTCATGTCAGGCAGACCTACCTATCAAATATATCTAGTACAATCCATGCATCCATATTTCCATCTCTGCACTCATATTCCCAAGCCATCAATTCACCCTGCAATTCCAAGCGCAAACTGTGAAGTTTAAACTCAGACGAAGCCCGGACTAATTTTGTCACGAGGTTTATTTGGAGGTGTTGGCACGAATGCGATGCAGTGTCACAGACGCACAGAAGCTGCGGTACCAAGCTGAACAATTCGGCAGCCTGGATGAAATGCGCAGGCGCCAAGACTCTAGACACAATATGTGCTCTAAATGTATCTTTAGCCTTTCTCGCTTCCATTACAATCTCGGGGCCTCGCCACGCTCTTGGCACGTTGCCTTCGCCATCGCCTGAAGCGATGCGTTCCGGACACCGTTTTGTGCTTGGCTCACATGGTGAATCATCGCCCGAGCCGCGAATAGCGAATTCTCTTGGACGTGAGCTGCAAAAATGTTCAGTAATTCGCAGTATGCGATGCTCCCCTAAGTCAAACCATCGCTGCGGTCCCAGCCACTGGCGCGTGCAGCAGCCTTGGCACATCTACGAGACTGCCGCGCCGAGCAAGAGACAGAGTATAAATGCAGCTCTCAAGCTGCTCTGCTTGACCCCCAGAACCTCAGACATCTCTAAACAAACTCTCAATCTCTACCATGGACGAAGAAATCGCTGCTCTCGTTCGTGACTGGCTCATCCTGGTGCATTACCAACAGTACACTCAACCAAACTTCTGGCTGCCTATAGGTCATCGACAATGGGTCTGGGATGTGCAAGGCCGGGTGTACGTATCAATTCCTTCTCTTCCTCACTTATGCCGACTCACGAGTGTCCTCGTTTCAGTTGCTGGTTCGTCAACGCTAACCTCGATGTCCAGAATAATTGCCTAATTCTTCCTAAATATTAGGTGACGATGCCCCTCGCGCAGTATTCCCGTAAGTTGAAATGCCCATGCCCCCGATCCAAAACTAGCTTTTGGTCTAAATAGTATACATAGGTCTATTGTGGGTCGCCCTCGGCACGCAGGAACTATGGTAGGCATGAATAACAAGGATTCATACATTGGGTGAGCCCAACCCTGCCTATTCTCTTTGACTGAGCTGACCCTGCCTGCAGTGACGAAGCTCAGGCCAAACGGGGGATCTTGAGCCTGAAGTATCCTATTGAGCATGGCATTGTCACCAACTGGGACGACATGTGAGTGGGGAGACATTCTTGCCCCTTACACCAGTTGACGAGTATAACCTTCATTAGGGAGAAAATTTGGCACCATACGTTCTTCAATGAACTCCGTGTCGCTCCTGAGGAGCATCCTGTCCTGCTCACAGAGGCTCCCCTCAACCCCAAGTCCAATCGTGAGAAGATGACTCAAATCATGTTCGAGACATTCAACACGCCAGCATTCTACGTTCAAGTGCAGGCCGTCCTCTCCCTCTACGCCTCCGGGCGTACCACTGGCATTGTCCTCGATTCTGGTGACGGTGTCTCTCACACTGTGCCTATTTACGAGGGATTCTCTCTTCCTCATGCCATCCAGCGCCTCGATTTGGCCGGTCGTGACTTGACAGATCATCTTGTCAAACTCCTCACTTTGCGTGGCCATTCGTTCACTACTACCGCAGAGCGCGAGGTAGTACGTGATATCAAGGAAAAACTCTGCTACGTAGCCCTTGACTTCGAGCAGGAAAACCATATTGCTGCCAACAGTTCCGCTATCGAGAAGAGCTACGAGCTCCCCGACGGTGCGGTGATTACGATTGGAAACGAACGGTCAGTGGATTTAGCAGTATTGGCCCATCTTATTATATTAATGTGAGATTGGCAGCTTCCACGCCCCAGAGGCTTTGTTCAATCCTACGATGCTTGGACTTGAGTTTGCTGGGATCCACGAGACAGTGTAAGTGATTCTTCGCATAACTAGCCCTGAACGCCATCACTCATAAGTCTTCCCTATAGTTATAACTCTGTATGCTTGCCCATTTGTGCCAAATTGACCCATCACTCACTCTTCTCATTCCTCAGATTCTCAAATGTGATCTTGATGTTCGTCGCGAGCTGTGAGTGTACCTCTTATTTATTGTATCCCTGATCTCACCTGGAGATAATATAGCTATGGAAACGTCGTGCTATCTGGTGGCACTACTATGTACCCGGGTATTGCTGATCGCATGAACAAGGAGCTCACCGCCTTAGCACCGGCTAGCATGAGGGTCTGTCGTCTACTGTTCTTATCTCACGTCCGTTGCTAGAGACTAAAAATACTCCTTCAGGTCAAGATTGTGGCTCCCCCTGAGCGCAAGTACTCCGTCTGGATCGGAGGCTCGATCCTTGGTATGTCGCAACGGCCCTAGACGATGTGACGGCATTCTCATGCTTTGTTCCTTACACTCACAGCGAGCCTCAGCACTTTCCAAAGCCTTTGGATCTCGAAGCAGGAATATGACGAATCGGGCCCGTCCATCGTCCACCGAAGTGAGTAGCCCCGTCATCTCACCATTATGCCTTTCTCAACGCTTGTTCGATTCAGAGTGCTTCTGAGAGTCTACGGATAATTCATCCATACCTAGTCTCCCGATGTTTTCACTTCGCTGTGCCATCCCGTTCTTGGCAAGTGGCACCTTACTTGACATTTCTTTCGCCTGTTGGAGTCGTCTGTTAGTCACTGAGTGCTTGACGTCAATGATAACCCATTGTTTGCTGGCGAGCACCCTTGTGATCTCTTTCATGGATACCTCGAGTGCAGTCCCACACTCGGCACTCCAAACTACTTGTGCGTTACATCCCCCACGCAGCACAACAAGTACTTTTCTCGCCCTCTGAGCTAAGATTTCCACGTGATCCTGAGTGGAGCATGAGAAGCGCATGAGAGATTGATCGCGATACCGCTAAGCTCTGGATATCTACTAGGCTGGCAATGGCTCGTCACAATGGCCATTTTGATGTTCATGAATCAAATTCTTGATAGATAAATCCAAGTACGACGACACTCGGGGCGTTGCACCTATAGCTCGGGTTTGTGGACGATGCAGTTGCCGTGTACGCCCCCTGCACTGCGCAGAGCATTCAACTCAGAACCTGTGAGTAGGACGGACAGTGATGTAAGCATGGTAAATGTTGATCTATGTTCCTGTGATATTCCATCGTTCCAAGCCATGCACACTCAAGCGAACCTCTTGATTAGCCATCCAGCTGCTCTTAGTAACCCAGGCCGTGCTATAGGGACAGCGATCGTCAATGGAGTCACGCGACGGATTTGATCGCGACAAAAAGCAAATAGCCTTAGACAGGAAAGTTCCACTACCAGGTGAATTTTCGCTCTACACACCTTCCTCTTGCTCCCTGCAGCGCTTGACGCCGTTTGAGCTTCCAACTCGATGTCAGCACCAGAGCTACGCTTCCTGGACGATGATGCCTTGGATTTGGGAGCAGGTTTCTTGCTTGTGGGCTTTTTCAGGGCCGTCGATGTTGCCTCTCCTTCTTCCTCAGAGTTCTCAATGTCTTCTTCCTCAGAAGGTCAAATATCCCCTGACATACATGAGGACATCGGTAGCACTATAAATTAATAACGGCGGGGAAGATAGTCATGCAATCCGCCCACCTTGGCTTTGCCCTTGGTAGACCTTGGAGCAGCGACTCTAGATTTTTTATTTGGCGGTTCTTCATCAAGCTCCTCCTGACCCTTCAGTGTGTGTTTGGTGCGAGACGTGGCCGCAGGCTAATATCCATGTTCAGAACCTTGAGTTGATGGGAAAGGAAGGGATATGTATACTTCGCGCTTGGCGGGGAATTCGCCTGGCTTCAACTGCTCTTCATCTATGGCATTATCCCCATCAGCGCCTTCCTCAGGCTAGCTCCGACAAGCGGTGAAGTCAGAATCTTTGATTTTCCTTCGAAAGCGAAGGGTTACCTGGCGCCTGGCTGTGGCATTGTTCAGCCCAATAGTAGGTGGGTCGCTTTCTTCCATTTCACCATTATCCGCATCCATCTCTACCATATCATTAAGGGCATAGGCCCCCTCTACGGGATTTTCATCCTCAACAACCTCTTCCTCCCCATCTCCAGCATCTTCTGCGGTCTGGTAGAATAGGGACAACATCAGGTGCAGTCTTCAATCTCATAGAAAAACAAAAGAGAGCGAACGGTTTACCCTTTGTATCTTTGTCTTACCCTTGCCTTTCCCCTTGCCCTTCCCTTTTTTTCCAGCACTACGCTTCAGGGCGCTGGGAGGGACGTCCTCATCAGCGATACGACCATCTTCCCAAGCCTTGTCTAATTTAGCTTGGTTTTCCTCGCCGATGCCGTCGTATCCTTCCAACTCGGCTACTTTGGGGATGAGAGCCCTAACATTACTGAGGACCTGGGGAGTTACGCAACCCTAGAAGACAGAGCGGATGCCGAAGTCATAAGACTACAATTGCGACAGTGCTTAGAGAGGGACCAGCTCACCCAATGACGCCAAACCCTGAGCCAGAAAAGCGACAAGATCAACAGAGCGGTACGCAGTCAGGGTAAACGTATAATCCAGTTTGTAGTCAGCAATCCCGCCCACGGATCCATACTTAACTCAGATATGGCAGCTCACCAACTTGGCTCATCATGGAGTTGAACTTCAACGCCAAACCGAAGCTCCCCTAACTTAATTTTCGTCCCTAGAGCGCTCAACCAAATTCCGTCGTAGCATGGAGGGGAGGTGAAAACAAATGGGAGGTAAGCTAGCGAACAATCCACGCGACGCGTTGTCGGAAGGAACTCGTTCATGATATATACCTTTACACGGCTTAGGTCCTGTGATAGCATTTGGCATTCGTAGCGGGGGTGCATGGGCCAAGTTAAAACGTATCACAATTGTAAAGGGAGGGGAACCCGCCAGTCAACAATTGTCGCACACTCTCAATGCTTGGAAACACACTGCCGTTGCAGCGAACCTTTGCACTGCGCAAGACGCGCGTAGTTTGCAATTTGGATGCGATACTCAGCGT